CCCGCTGGATAGCTTTTTCAAAGCAGAAGGGTTTGCTAAAAACGCCAGCGCACACACACCTACTCATACACACTCACAAACATAGAGAGAGGGAGCGTTCAACGACAAAGTATGATAACCCCGAATAATCTGGTGTTCGGGGCTACGTGCGCGCGCGCGCGTGCGCACACTCACACACACACACACACACAGCCCCACATACGAATTCTACGAAATAGTTTGATATTCTGTTGTTTGGCGATGTGCGCCTGCGCGCGCGCGCACACACACACACACACACACACACACGCGCGCGCACACAATTTTGAGTCAAATCGTGGTTATACGTCGGAAATCGAACTCAGCGACCCCGAAAACGTACAGGTAAAAATTGTTGATTTACAGCGTGTTTTCTTTTAAAAATTGGTTTTTTGCCACTGAAAGTTAGGCAATCGATGTCTGCGGTTACTCAGGACACGTTGTGGACTGTTGTTCACATATTTGCATCCTTTCCGACCGATATGGTTCCAAATAAACAGGCACTTTTGGAGATTTGCCCCAGTTAGGTAGGCAATCCCCCATTTTCCGGTTCCAGTCACGGGGTAGAGTTGGGCAACACTTCTTAAAAGTGACCTCTAGGTACCTACTAACTACCGGTAAGACGGTTTTGCTCTACATCGAAATGCAAGGTTGGTCCCGTTTTGGAGCCTTAACAAGCGTACTAGCATGGTGGACGGCCGGAGCGCTTCGTTTCTACCCCCTGGTCTATGATCACAAGTTATGAGTTCCAACTTTAACGGATAACGTACCGCTAAAGGGGAGTTCCATGTTAAGTAACAGACCCCTGTAATTCACTATTCCTTCTCAAATGCCACTGTTGTCCTCATCACAGGCGCAAACCACCTGCCTCCTTAAACAAGCCGCTCGGCATTCGGCCGATGTGAATAAGTTACAAGTTGTGGCGCCCGTCTCCCCTCCACTTAATGGAAATTGTTCTTGCGTGCCGACAACACAAACGAGGTGCTTTTCCGCGCCTTAGTCTAACCTTAGTCTGTGCATTTGAGCCTGCGATGGTGCTGGCGATCACCGACAGGAATCACCCGAGGGCAGCGGGGCTGCCTAACGCTTTCTCTTGGTGGGGCCAGAAGTTATCGTTAACGGGGAACGGCTGCGCACAGGACGCCACGAGGAGACTCGTGAACTCGAGATGGTGGATCTTGATCGTCTCCTATATCGCGTGTAGCAGCCTCCTAAACGCTCTTCGCAAGGGCTCTTTTATGCGAATCGTTAGCGGCTTAGACATGGTAGTCGGAGCCTTCGGAACCCTGGCAGCGACTGTCTTCTTGCAACGCGAGGGCAACCACCTTTGCGACCTTCTCGCTGACGCGGCCAACGTAGCTGAGGACATATACACTGGTGGCCTACCAATAGAACTTCAGGTAGATGCACCTAGCGGCCCTCGTGTGAGAGGTGCGCAGAGCTCCAGCCTGGTATCGCCTGGGCCAGGGACACCCCGAACGAGACTACCCCCTCCGCTGAGCGCGCGTCGGCTCGCCTGCAGCCTAGCCTCAGACGGGGTGGTTTCTGGCCGGGCCGGCTCCCAGGCGATACCAAAGCGCTGTGAACGGCTGCCGCTCGGCTGCTCTGCCCACCTCTCACACGAGGGCCGCTAGATGCACCAGCCGAGAGACAGCATTGTTGAGCGTCTGTCGGGAGACGTCTCCACCGCCTTAAACGCGCATTTTTACAACCGAAGTTCATGTCACACGCGTGTGGCTGTAGGAACGTATCCTCTCGTGGAGTAGGGAGGTGACTTTATTGAAGCATAGTTTGGTAAAAACTCAATATAGGATAAATAAATCCACTCTGCACAAGTTAAATATAATTAATAGATGGTAGAGCAGCAGAAGCTCCGCCGCGAAATCGCCACATGGGTCTTCAAATTCTTCGTCGAGGCGCGGGAGCAGCCGAACACCTTGTCGGGTGTGGTATGAAAAATCACTCGGCGCTTCCCAACATTATTATCAATATTTCCGAATATTCGGGAATATTTTATATT